TGAAGGGGTCAAATATCCAGTGAGCTTGCCAGACAGCATTAATGAAAAATCACCTGTAGCCATTGTGATGATTTAATAGCCCAGAAGTCTGAAAAGTGTTTCAGGTTAGCAGAATAATGAATGACTGCAGCCAATACAGTGTGAATGATACACTGCTGTGGAACCATGATTTGTGATATTTGGTGCAAAATCCAACTTTATCAGAATCCCACATTTTATTCTTTTTTAAAAATAAAGTTTCTAGTCCATATAATTCCGTGCCACAATGCCTGCTCGGTCTTGGAAGCAAAGGAATGGCTAAGAAGGTTTTATTTAACAGCCAGGGTGGTTGCGGTGGTGAATCTTCATGTATCTGCAAAGCTTTTTAATGCTAATATGTTGAGCTTGCATAATCTATACAGATTTCAGAATTGCATATAACTTTGATCACTTTGGTGCAAAAACTTGGGAGGGTTGTGTGGTTTCAGTTTGTTTTAGTGCAGAATACTCCCAAAACTGTCCAAAAGATTATTGATTACGAAGCAGACATCTAATATATGCATTGTGCGCTCTCTCTCTCTCTCTCTCTCTCTCATAGTGGATGAAAATAAACCAAAGATGGCAAAGGAGGAGAAAACGTATACTTTTAAAGCTCGGACTCTGTATATTTTCTTAGCTGTCTCCGTTTCCTTATTTATTATCTGTATCGGCCTTGCAGTTGCCGTTGGTGAGTTCTGTTCCTTTATCCATTACCTTTGACTGCCACCTTGTGGTCATTGTTTGCTTCTGTGCCTTAACAGGCAGAACAGTGGGACCTTGGCAAACATGCGCTTCTATGTCTGTTTGCCAAGGTAACACAAATGTGGAGGAAACAGGTGGCAATCTCAGGGAGATGGGGCTCCTCTTCCACGTAACAAATTTTCCCCTGAAAATGCTTGCCCGTGAATTAGTGTTTTGCAGCGTGCAGAGGACCGCAGCCTTAGCTTCCGTAAGACCAGCAGGAGACGGCTCTGGCAATGACTATAATGTATCACGGTTTTAGGACTACAATGACCACTTGACTGATCAATGGAAAGCCTTTTTAATCAACTAAAAATGTCTCCCGTGTTTAATCAGGTCAGCAGCCCCCCCATTTAATATTAACGCTTCCAAAAATTGTGGTCGTCAGGCACCATTTTAGAAGAGGCTTTCTGTTTTGGGCAGACAAAAGACATTCCCCTTATATTGCCTTATATTGTTTGGGTTTTCCAGGCCGCAGCTGAACTTCTGGGGATGAGGGCCGCTGAGGGGCAGGGTCGGGGCAAAAAAGGGGCAACGCAACAGGTGTGGTTCTTAGCTTTGTACCGTAGACCACACACCAGCTAGAGCGGTGACAGGCTAACAGGCTAACATCAGAGCCTTTAGGGAAATTGTCAAGTATAAGTGTCACTCAATTTAATACATATTGCTTGATAATTAGACTGCAGTCCTGTACCACAGGGAGGCAGAACCCTTTTTTGAGCATCATAGGAAAACCTTCCAGTATGTGTGGAACCAAGTATGTATCTACCAGTTCACTTTGCATTTAGTTCACAATTTAATTCAATTTTATCCGAATGACCCTTGGCAAAAAATTTTTTATAAAAAAATCAGCATCCAGAACGGTATAAGCTGCTGTGTTGATATATAAATTATACGTAAGAAGACTAAGGAAACATCAAGGCACACAGATAGAATGTTTAGTTTATTTTCCCCAGCAATTATTATATTTTAGCTTCAAGGCCCAAGGAGTTTTGGAGAGTTAAGAACAAATATAAGAGAATGAACTTGAAGATGGATTAGAAATTGTGTGTGTAGTGGTTCTAGGGGTTGCTCGTGTGTAAGCCGGTGCAAACACCTGGCTGGGTTGCCTGAGTGAACCTTTTCCATCCAGACAGCCACTCACCCGTGGCTGTCTCAATCGCTGGCAGAATCCGTCAGTGGGCGTTTCTTAAACTTCTTCCAGCAAAGAAGCTCTTTGACGCCTAGTCTCCTCCTACTCTCTCTGCGCGAAAGCCTTCTGCGCAAGGAGGGCGTAGGCAGCGGAGGACCTCTACTCTCCCCGCTGGTCCCCGGCAAGGAGTCATGGGACCGCCTCGCCGCTTCCCCCATCTGCCCCCCTTCTCCACTGGTGCTACGCTGATTCTCTTCCCCAGAAGATGGGCTGCCTCTCCCAATCCCGGGATGCTCTCCGGAATCCCTCTGGATTTTGCTCTCTCCCTCCGGCACTGATGGCAGTTCCCTGACAGTGTGCTTCAGAGATTATTATTATTTTAACAAATTCAGTGAACTTTGCATTTTTTTTACTTTCTCTTCTGCTCTATTTTCTAAAGCAAAAAAGGGCTCCTTTTCCTACTTGTGTGGAAAAGTACAAAGCTATATTCCAGTCAAGCAAAAGACAAGAGGCTGAGTTTAATTAATTCAGTGGTACCTCTAGTTACGAACTTAATTCGTTCCGGAGGTCCGTTTTTAAGCTGAAACTGTTCTTAACTAGAGGCGTGCTTTCGCTAATGGGGCCTCTTGCTGCCGGTGCATCGCCGGCACACGATTTCCGTTCTCATCCTGGGGCAAAATTCTCAACCCGAGGTAACTCTTCCAGGTTAGCGGAGTTTGTAACCTGAAGCGTTTGTAACTCGAGGTATCACTGTAGCCAGCACAAGTCCCTCTAGTGGAACAAGCTTTCTCCCTGCCTGGCCCCCCTAAACAGCTTGGGGTGTGTGTCAGGAGAACCCTCAGAACAGACTGTGGGGAGGAGAAAGGGAGAAATAGCTTGGAAACACACATGTTTTTGCTTGCCCGATTGAACAATTTCCTTAATGCTAGTTTAAATTCCACCCAGAGACTTCTGCACTCACATGTCAAAAGTCATAATTCAAGAACGCATCATAGCTGGGTCAAACCTAGGCATGCAGCAGGGCAGGTGAGGGGGGTGGCCTGGGTCCCAAGGACCAAATATTTGAGGATTGCAGGGCTGTATTTGGCCCTATCTCTGCAGTACGGAGTTAAACTGTGTTAGGAATGGCACCAGTCAGGAAAAGCAGGAGATGGGTAGGTGCATCTCCCACCACAGCGATGAATAAATGGACTATGCTGCAGTGCTAGCAGACGCAGCTGTTTTCCCTCTTAATGTTAAAGTAATAGGCCTTTGTTTTCAATCACTTTCTTCAGAGCTATTGTTCTTATTCCTATGCAAAGATTTGCAAATTTAATCTATGGAATTACAAATCGGTATGTTATCTGCTCAGAAGCAAGTCCCACTGGGCTTGAACTCCCAGGTCAATGGTTGTGGGATTGCAGCCTAAGTAGAGCAACAATCTTCACCTTGTCTACTCAGAAGTAAGCCCTATTGAATCTAGTGGGGCTAACTGCCAAGCTAAGTGGAGTTTGGGTTATAGCCCTCTCTATTTCCAGAGCAGTAGCTGTGCAGTTAGGTTAGCTGCTCTTAAATTATTTTCTTTCTTTCAGGTATCTTGTCGACACGCTCATCAACGGTTCAGTACCCTTCAGATTACAACCCCTGCCCTCAGGGCTGCGTTCTGCCAAAACCCACACCATCACATCTGTACCCTTCCTGTGTCCCCGCCTGCCCTCAGGGCTGGGTCGTGCATGAAGCCCGGTGCTACTATTTTTCAACTGCTGAGGCAAACTGGACCTCCAGTCAGAGCAACTGTTCTTCTTATGGTGGCTCCCTGACGGCAATCGATACTCCAAGTGAAATGGTGAGAGCCTTTCCAGTCTGCCCTGTGGACTTCATTATAAGCAAGAAGCATTTAGGCCAAGGCTGTATTGTGATTTACCAGTTAAATCAGCAGTGGGGAGCCTCATGTACACCACAGCTTCCAATTGATCTCAGTGCTTCTGTCCCAGTTGCCAGTCATCCCATTACATTTTATGGATACCACAGATAAGCCTATTTCACCTCTGATCTTAACACTGACAGGGGCTCTTTCCCATCAGGAGGAATTGACGACTATCATTAACTTGGATGGCTTTGAAAGAGGATTAAGTTAGAGAAATAAGCTTTGTTCTGATGTACCTCGGAACAGTCCTTCCAACTAGCAGCTGAGCAGCTGGTTGGCAAGACTGCTCTATTGCAATAGTTTTGATAAACGCTAGGTCCCTCTGGGATACTGGACTTGAATTAGTTTCCTTGGTTCTGTGGTTTATTTTAAAGGTAGTCCCTCAGCTGGGTAACAAAAAAGGTGGTGTAGAAGTGAATTCTTACCACACTAGTCTCTTGTAAGCAGGGCAAAGAACAGGGCCTTGGGCATGATGTGGGAGTAGATGGCCCATCCAGTGGTCCTGAACTGTTTAGAGCAGGCTTCCTCAACCTCGGCCCTCCAGATGTTTTTGGCCTACAACTCCCATGATCCCTAGCTAGCAGGACCAGTGGTCAGGGATGATGGGAGCTGTAGTCTCAAAACATCTGGAGGGCCGATGTTGAGTAAGCCTGGTTAAGGTTTCAAACACCCCCAAACCAGCACTTCACATGGAGCCTAAAAATAAACAGGCAGACAGCGTAACTGGTAGATGATTGATCCATTGTTGGCCCCCACCAGATAATCAAAGGACTCATGAGCACAGGCTCATGGCACAAATTTGCAGAACATGTGCATTTGATGATTTATAGGATATGCCTGTGGGAAATTCAAGTGGTGAGTGGGCTGCATTCTCACTAGCATGATATATAAGCCATAAGGTAAAGGTAAAGGGACCCCTGACCGTTAGGTCCAGTCACAGATGACTCTGGGGTTGCGGCGCTCATCTCGCTTTATTGGCCGAGGGAGCTTCCGGGTCATGTGGCCAGCATGACTAAGCAGCTTCTGGCGAACCAGAGCAGCGCACAGAAACAGCGTTTACCTTCCCGCCGGAGCGGTACCTATTTATCTACTTGCACTTGATGTGCTTTCGAACTGCTAGGCGGGCAGTATAAGCCGTATAAGTTGCCATATAAGCAAAGGCTGAATAATTGCATCAGAAATGGAAACGAGAGCGAAATTCCCACAGTTCACACATTTCTCTGAGATCAGGAAATGGGAATATGAGCAGTATTCACCATTGTTGGGTGGATGGGTGTTTTTTAAGTGTGCAAACATCGGTGAATAATTATGACATCTTCTGCATTGTTTTTTGGCATTTACCTTCCACTGAATTGAATTGAAAATAACTACATAATCATGTGCTCTGATGGTGTTTCCTGCTTGGCAGGGGGTTGGACTCGATGGCCCTTGTGGTCTCTTCCAACTCTATGATTCTATGATTCTATGAAATGGAGGAGAGTAGCTAGGTTCTCCCTGCACTGTAAGAGACAGAATTCCATTGGCCCTTACTTCAATTTTTGAACTTAGTGCTGTAGGGGTTAGCTAAGATGAGTAGATAACACCCGTCTGCTTGCTCTTTAGAGATTCTCTCTCAAGGGGCAGGTAGAAGGATCTTTCCGCCCACTTCAACCCTGGCACTGGAGTGGAGGGGCCTGAAATATTCTTTGGGTGCACATCATCTCCCGGTCATTCAGAATTATGACATTGGACTCCTTGTGGATTCACTGCCATGCCTGAAACTTTAGTTTGCTGTATCGTCCAGGGATGTTTCGTCAGCTCAGTTTGGTGCACCTCCTAGATCTACACCTCAGCGGGGTTGTGGCTGAGACCCTCCTGACTGTACCATGACCTACAGAGCTCCATCTGGTGGAGGTGCAGAGCAGGGCCTTCTCTGTGTTGGTGCCTACTGTATGGCATTCAGTCCTTGTGGCATTCAGCCAGGCACCCGTAGAGTGCTGGTTCTTC